GAACTCCTGAGTTCAGTCAAAGACTTAATGAAAGCAATAATTACATAACAGTTTTTTTAAAAAAATTTTTACACTGAGAAAAATCTCAACTAAGTAACACAGCGGCAGCCTTAAATATTATTTTGCTGACCTGTATCAAAATCATGTAGGTTCCAGTTACAGGCCTCTAAATAATTGGAAATGCTGGCTAATACTAGTTTGTTTTGTTTTTCAGGCTTTAGAAAGGATGCGTCCTTACCTGTGTGATAAGATCATAGCTGAGAGACACTTTGATTACCTGCGTTCTAAGAAAATACTCACTAGGGAGGACACAGAAGAAATTTCTGCTCGATCTTCCAGTAGGAAAAAAACTGGGAAGTTACTGGACTACTTAGCAGAAAATCCAAAGGGACTAGATACTTTGATTGAATCTATCAGACGAGAAAGAACACAAAACTTCCTGTTACAAAAGATAACTGATGTAGTGTTGAAAGTCAAAAATGAAAAGCTTGAAGCTCTTAAAGGTAACAAACTTTTAATAATGTTGTGTAAGACATAGGTTTTATTTGGAGGGTCTGCAAAATTAAATCCAAAACAAAAGTCTTCCTCTGCTATTTGGAACAGCATGTGTGGAAATATTACCAGTTTGTGTTTAAGATCCTAGTGCATGTATCCTGGCTTTGCCTTTTTACTATCTGAACACATCCATCATAAATAACAAGTAGCAAAAAAAAACCCTGTTGTATTGTTATGATGGATAAATCTGTCTTCACATTTCAGTTTTGCTTTTCAAAAATGGGTGGTTATCTTCCATCTTGCATTTCTCTCCGCTATTTGCTGCAGTGGCAGGGTGCTCTGGTTCAGTTATACTTTGTGCCTAGCAGAAGGTATGCTAGCAAATGCAGCTTGAGGGGAGTTCCCCTGTATGCCTTCGATGCCACAGCTTTAAAGTAGACACTGTAAATACATGTGTGTGTTTTTACATACAGGCTCAGAGGTTTTGTTGACACTCAAACCTTGAAGGGACTGTGTGTACTCATATTTTAAGGCAGAGAAAGAAAGTATAGGCTTTCTACACCAAAGTGTTACTTCCCCTTCCACGCCCATCAAAAGGCAGATAAAGAAGGAAGAAGTATGTTTTAACTGTAGAGGTTAAGGGCCTGAGGTTTGCTCTGGCTTCAGGTAAAATAGCCTTCAAATGCTGTCCCCTTTGGAGCAGAACCAGCAGGTGAAGCTCTTAAAAGTTTGAAAAACACAGTGAGAAGAATCTAAAAAAAGTTGGGCCAAAGGGCTAAAGTGACTTCCCAAAATGAACTTTAAGTTACAGTGCATCTTTGTCAAGTACTATCTGGTACTGAGTACACACATCAGCCTAGATAACCTGCATGTTTGTTTTTGAATTTGTCAGGAATTCTGGATGTCACAGGTAAGATGAAAGGTTAGTCTGTTAAAAATTTGGACAATTGATTTTTGACAGTCTTAGTGATATTAAATCTAAGATGTCCCCATACTGTAATTAAATCCAGTATCTGGTTTTTTGTCTTAGGTTTAAGCTGCAGCACCTGTATGACCTCACTGTATGGAGGAACAAATAATCTTTCTAGATCCTTTTCTGATGAATCAAATTTTCTGGATAAAACAAAAGACAAAGAATCTACCCAGATACATCACCCAGAAGAAGATTATAGCACCGCTGCCTTTGTGTCTGCTGTCTCTCTTCATTCAATGAATTTACCAATTGCAGAGATGGGCAATTCACAGTGCAGTGTTTTCTCAGCCACCCTGCCAGGGCCTGGGGACCCTGGTGCACCCCCACTGCCCCCAGAGCTCCAGTCAGAGCAGCAAGAGCCATGTACCAGTTCAAGTGACAATTGCTTTTTGCCTTTAAGATCACGTTCTGTTCAGCCACAGTGAGTGCAGTGACTTTCATCTGTTCATCCAAATGGTACTGAAACTTTGTGGGATGTCTCATAAAGGCTAAAAAATGTTTTCAAACTGTTAGGAAAATTGGAGGAAATCAACTATGCAATTTCTGTTTTAATTTTGTAAATGTGTGATGCTGGAGCTGCTTGACTTTTTTTGTTTGTTTTGTTCTTTAGGGAGCTTTTTTTCAAAATATTGTGGTGTTATACCAACAAATGTTTGGTCTTTAAACCAATGTGTATAAGATTTCACATTTAGTTGTGGATACTTTAGCTGGGATTATAGAACAAATGGGTTTTTTCTTTCTGCAGAAATTAACAAATCAGGTTTTCTTAATGTTTCTGTGATGGGTGAACTGGGAAAGACAGTTAGGAAAAGTACTGAGCATGGAAAAAATCTGAACTAAAAACTTAAGCTTACTTACCAAAAAGCTTAAACTCATTTACCCAGTTAAACGTTTCTCACTAAGATAATTTCTGCTCTCTATGTATATGTGTGCTGCTCCATTTGCAAAAAATGCCCAAATCTGTGCTTGTTAGCAGGAGTTTCCTCCTTGTGTGGACTTTGTCCTACTGGTACATCAAAAGGCATCAGTATTGCAAATACACTTCTGCAGGCCTCAGCGTATTCTTCTTGTATATTAGTTAAAGATTCCTGATTTGAGATGCACTTTAAATATAAATTCTCTTTAGTACTGGAAAAGGAATGTAAACTGCTCTAATGGCATTGTGAGGGCTGCAAGAAAACATTGTAGGATGGTATTAAGGACCAAAGCTTGTATGCTTTGTCTCTCAAAAAAGCATACAAGGGAGGTGGAGGAGAAGCTGTGTGACACAAAGTATGATACCTGAATGACTCTTGGAAATATGGCACTTCAAATACCTCCTCTTCCAAGCAGACAGACAGGTTTACATTTCAAACTGTTTAGAGTCAAATGCATTTTAAACTGTTTCAACATGGGAAGGTTCTCATTTCTTGCCACTGTGTAACATACTGTATTCCTCTCATACTGGAATTGTAGCCTACCTTTTGTGCAGGTGCCTGTAATAATTTCAAAATGACCTGGTGGATTCTTAATTTGACATGTACAGCTGTGTTCTGCAGTACTACACCTTAAAGTGATGGGATGTTTTCAGTATATCAAAGGGTAGGTTTGTATTAAAGGTCCTAAATTACGCTGGCTCTCGTACTGTGTATAGCCATGGAATGCCATTCCAATGCACACGGGTAATATTGCTAAACTGTTCTCCTCTTGTGGAGACAGGCCACCTGCAGGACCTCAGTGTAGTCTCTGTAAATAGTTTCTCTCTATTATTCTGGTTTTGGAAGTAGATTAAATTAAATGCAGTGTTCAACTACGCTCCATCCCGAGTATATGAACGTCTTACACATGAGAAAGTGTTTATAAAAATCCTTGTTTTTCTTGTCTACATCTACAATCATATACTGTCCAGACAGTGGAACTGCTTTGATTAAATGACATTCTGGAAATTAAGTGCCTAAATATGCAAGCCAAACTGTGTTCTTTAACATGAAATTAAGGATAGGATGAACTCCCTCTCTTCCATTAACTTGAATTGTAGTTGATGTACTTGGGACATCTAGAAAGTGATTTGTCTAAATGCCCACTGTAACCACTTAAAGAGCTGTGCTTAGGCTGGAGCCCCTTCCTGGGTTCTTGTAAAGAGAAGAGAGTGAGCAGGGTTGGCCTTAACAGAGCAGATACACCAGCCCTGCAGGGTGGGGGCTGCCCTGCTGCTCCCCATCCTGCCCCGTGCAGCCTGCAGGGACCACTCCCAGTGGAGCCTACAAACCTGAGACCTTGAGTGAATGTATTGTCTTTTCAAATGTCTGTAATGTGCGTTTTTAAAACATGTTTTTATCACAACTTTTGGAATAAATTCTTTTGTATAATTGCCTGGTTTTTGGTCTGCCTCTCATTTTTAAGGTGTACAGGTTGCAAGAGCAGTTCATGCCATTACCTTGATGTGTGGTTTTGGTTTTGTGTGTGCAGGAGGCTTTTGTTCTCCTTGTCTTTTTAGAGACGTTTGTCTCTGGTGGAAAGACTGACTGAATGTGAAACGCCTGTGCTGGTAGGACTGCACTCTGTAAGGAAAACATGCATGTGAAATCAACAGCTCTGCTGCTTAACTAGTTTCTGCAGTTCATGACTGCTATTACTAACCTGATTCTTGCTTTTTTCTCAAATGACTCTATTGCTCAACTTCCTACGGATGTGAGAAGAGTTGCTTCCAGCCACCCACATCTTGATTTCATTCTTAAATTAAGATTTTTATTAATAGCAGGGGAGAAACAAAAACTTTGAGTGCTGAGAGGCATGACAGAAAAAAGGACTTGCAAATGCTGCAGGCACTGTGGTGTCTCACTTCAGTGGTTGTTTTCATTGTACTTTGTGTATAGGGCTTCAAAATAATGACATAGTATTGATTATGAGAGATCAGCTGGATATGGTTTAGTATCTTTACAGTGAAGGAAGTGATCGTAGTATAACCAAAACCCCTTCCTCAGATCTTATCCTGGTAGTGTAAGTAGTTCTGGTAGTGTAAGTAATTGGAACATAGAATCATAAAGTATGCAGAGTTTGAAGGGACTCAGGAAGACTCCAAGTCCAGTTCCCAGCCCTGCAGAGGACATCCCCAAGAGTCACACCCTGTTTGTGGGAGTGTTGTCCAAACCCTTCTCAAGCTCTGTCAGGCTGGTGCTGTGACCACTGCCCTGGGGAGCTGCCCCAGTGCCCGAACACCCTCTGACCTCTGGGTGAAAAAGCTTTTCCTGACACCCATCCCCAACCTGTCCTGACTCAGCTCCATCCCCTTTGAACAGCACCAGTATTTCAGCTGATGCAGTAATGTGTGTATGAGTCCATCACAAGGGAGGTCTAGTACAAACTCGGTCCAGCAAATTTGAAAAATCTGTTTTGGTACAGATACCGCCTGGAGCAGTGATCAGCACTGTCTGCCCTGGGTTAGCCGGTGGTCGGACATTAAGGAAAACGTGTTTCCCCCCCGCTGAGGCCTGCGGGTGTGAGGAGGGAGCAGTGCAGGCCGGCTCGGTTTGGTGTCCGCTCCCGGGAAGGGCAGGCCCCGGAACCCTCGGCGCGGGCGCGGTTTCCGCGGGCGGCGCGAGGCGGCCCCGCCATGGCGGCGGAGGGGGAGGACCCGCTGGGCTACTTCGCGGCCTACGGCAGCTCCAGCTCCGACTCGGAGCCCGAGGAGCCGCAGCCCGACGAGCGCCCGGCGGGAGCCGGCGCGGCCTCGGGCGGCGTCCCGGGGCGGCCGCGGCTGCCGCCGCCCGACGAGCTCTTCCGCCGGGTGTCGCAGCCGCCCGCCTTCCTCTACAACCCGCTGAACAAGGAGATCGACTGGGAGAGCCGCGTCCTGCGGGCGCCCGAGGAGGTGCGTGGGGCGCGGGTGAGCCCGGGCGGCGCCGGGCCCGGCCCGGGCCGCTGTGACGGGCGCTGTGCTCTCTCCCGCAGCCCCCCAGGGAGTTCAAGGTGTGGAGGAGCAGCGCCGTGCCCCCGCCGGACACCTACAGCCCGCCCGAGAAGCCGCCGCCGCCGGCCCCCGCCCTCGACATGGCCATAAAGTGGTCCAACATCTACGAGGACAATGGCGACGACGCGCCCCGGCAGGCCGGCAAGGCCCGGTTCCTGCCGGACGAGGAGCAGGAGCCGCTGGAGTCGGGTGAGGCCCGCGGGGCGGCCCGGCGTGCCCGGCCCCGAGCGGGCGCTGCTGGCTGCTCTGCAGCCGCTCTGCCCGGGGACAGAGCGCTCTGCCTGCGGGGCTGGGGGCTGCCTCTGCTGGGCTCAGCACAGCCCCTCTGCTCCTCTGCCTCTCTGGCATTACAGGGAGGCATTAAAGTCTGTGAAACCAGCAGGTTCAGTCACGGTGCTGCTGAAACAGAAGGTGGTGTAAAAGCTTCAGGTGCTTTACACTGAGGTGTTGACCTTAGTTGTAGATGTAGGTCAGATTATTTCTATAACATTTGCAAAACTTGGGGTCCAAAAGGGAAATCAAATAGGATGCCCATGGGATAGATTACTGAAGAAAATATTTACTATCTTCTTCACTTTCTATGATGGTACAAGCTGTAAAGGTAACTTAGGAAGTAAAGAAGTATTTGGTAGGTGAGAGGATTTTTTCTTTTTTAGTTGCTGGAGAAAGAGAATAGCCAGCAATAATCAAGAGAAGAGAACCAGAAGAAGAAATTCACACAATAATGTTTTCATTCATTGGTAAAGTTGTCAACAAAGCTTTTCCAAAAGAAGGATTTTTTTGCTGTCTTGCCTCTTTTTTGGTTCTGGGTGTTCTTTCCCAGTAGCAGTTTTTGTGTCTTTCTCCATGTGTTCTATATGTTTCCCTGCCCATGCATTTCTCTTAGTCAGCCTTCATCCAGAGGAAGACGATTAGAATGTTAATTGACATTATTTCTGGTTCAAAAATGTCATTTTGTAGCTTTTAATAATTTGTTTAGAACAGGTACTGTCCAGTAGCATAAAGCCTCTTTTCAGTTACCTGCAGTGGCTTGTGGCAGTGACAAGAAGTGATTCCTGTTTTGTCCACACATTGTCTGCATTCCAAAAATGAGGGTGTTGTCAGGTAATGCTACAGTGCCTTTTTTCCAGCCATCTCAGGTGTGGTTAAGTCAGTTGTTCTGAGACAGGATGGTGTTTAAGACAAAAGACTGGCTTTGCTGACTTTAATTAACTTTCTTTTATTTAAAGATGGTGAAAAAGACGACGAACCAGCTTCCGCTAAGAAACGTAAAGTAGAGTCTGGAGAACAGGCAAAGAAGAAGAAGAAGAAGGTATAAGCAGGGCATTTTGGATTTAGACATAAGAATTTCAAGGAACTTGGATTTCTCTGCTGGAATGGGACACAAATACGTGTTTACTACATTTCTCTCTCGGGTAGGGAATTTTATTTCTGTAGTATGCTTGCCTTTTGGAAAGCACAAAATTAAGTGGACAGTGTTGTGGTAGAACTTGTTTACTGAACAAAATTTAAACCTGTTTATTTGAAACAAGGATTTAGATTAAAGATCCATTGCCATGGATACTTGTGCTCATGCAGGTTACAGGGCTTCACAGTATTTTGTTTATCAAGAAACCTGGTAACATGCATTTTTCTGGATTGACTTTTCCATTGTGTCAAAACCTTTTATAAAGGAGTATATACTAAAGATTTTTTTAGGTACTGGTCTGTGATATGTTCACATAATGTTGTTTTTAAATATATGTATAGACTGCAAATAGTCACTGGAATAAAACTACATTTGAAAACATCTGTGGTATAAATATTGCATTGCATGCTTGGTGAATAGGAGCAATGAATTCTGTATTATATGCCATTCACTGATGTGTGACTTAACAGATTCCTCAGGGCTTTTTTGTTTAAATAAATACAGAACTACAAACTGAAAAAAATGGACCTAAAATTGAGTTTAATATTTTATAATTATTTTGATGTTACGGAATCTCCATCAGTGAAACATGAGACCAACTGATGGAGGGAGAATTGAAGCATGTAATGTGTTCTTCCTGAAACAGAAAATAGAATCAAGATATTTATGTGGACAAAAATTATGACAAAGCTGTGGTAGAGTCTTTGCTGCCAAATTGTATTTATTGCAGTACAAACAGTTGGTAGTCTTCTCAAAGTGCTAGCCAGTATATGTTGCATTTGTGGTATGCTGCTGAATGGGTTTTTGGATCTGTATATGACAAGGTACCAGCTTGTACTGGATTGGAGGAAAGGTTGCTGTATATTTTCAGATAAAGATTCTGTGCCTTAGAAAATCTGCAGTGAGATTAGTGCCTGCTAACAGAGGTTCATGTAATTAAATTGTTAATTTAAAAATTTTGTGGTTTCTATTTTCCTTCTGTCTTGGACTAGCTTTACTTTGTCAGAACAGATTCTGTATACATATGTGCTAATATGATGTTAATATTTTTTAAATGATTTTGAGAGTTTTTTTTAACCTCAGTATATAGAAAAGTGTATTCGCCTTCTGGCTTGGACTAGCTTTACTTTGTCAGAACAGATTCTGTATACATATGTACTAATATGATGTTAATATGTGCTAATATGATGTTAATATTTTTAAAGTGATTTTGAGGTTTTTTTTAACCTCAATATATAGAAAAGTGTATTCATTTTCAGTGAATATATGAAGTTGTTAAGAAGTTACACAATTCTAGCCTTGGCAGTGTGATAATTCTTTCTCTGGATCCTTGTGTGCTTACAGACTCCGCAACTGCTCCTTGCCATTTTCACAGGCTGTGGGGCCAAATCTGTGATACCTGACACAGCTGGGGGCTCCCTGTGCCCACCTTTCCTAGTGCAAACCCAGACACCAGCCACTGTCCTAAAAGGCTCCAGGATGAGGGCAAAGCTTATGGAGTGCCAGCTCTCTAGGGTTTCTCCAAATATTCCATCTGCATTTTTGAGTCTTACAATAGTTGTGTTTGCTAGTGCAGTGCTCCTTGAAGAGTGTTACAGCAAGGCTGATGTCCCCAGCTCTGGAAATAGGATGCATTCCCATGACTGCTGTGCCAAGGAGGCTTCTGTCCATTTATTTTTTGCTGTTCCACAGGGCAGCTCGGGGAGTTACTGTGCCAATTGCTCCTTTTGTTTTCAGACCATATGATATACGTAGTGTCCAGTTTTCTTGAAGTTAACACCATCTGATACTCATTTTCAAGGAGAAAACCAGCATATCCAGCCTGGGAGAAGAACAATGGTATTTTTTGTAGGTGGAGGGAATCTTCATGGCAAGCAGAGACCATGGCAGCTTCCCTCTTCAGGAGAAATGGAACAAAAAGCTCTTCACCTTTTTCTGAAGACATTTGAAACAAGGCTCTGAGAGCCTCTGTGAAGCTGAATTATTTGGATAGATTGATTCTGTAGCTGCAAGTTTTTTTTGGTGGAGATGCTTCAGTACAGCTTCAGAAGGAGATGATAAGAGAAGTGGAACAATGCTGCAGCTTCTGAAGCAACTCAAAAGACTTCAAGAAACAGAGGTTTTCTTCAGGCTTGGGCAGCTAATAATGAAAATTTGTTGACACATCAGGCACTGTGAAATGTGAGTAAACACCAACTGAACTTAAACTGATAGCTCAGATGTTCAGAAAATCTTTGACTGTAGAACAGTTCATCCTGGATTGTCTTTCAAGGGATGACAATGACAGTGAACCCTTGCTGACAAATGAGGAAGATTGCCTCTGAAAATTGGTGCTGTGTTAACTCATTATTCTACTGTTTCTATAATGAACCAAATTTGATTACAATCATTATGTGTATTGGAGGGAAAAGGCAGTAAAATTACATACAGGTTTGATTTGAGGAAATTATCTTAAAAATTTGTCAAAACCAGAAAAATAGTGTCTGGAATGTAATTAATTTGCAGTGAGCACATTGCATTGCTTCAGATGCTGGCACAAGAGCAGCTGCAGTACTTGGCTTTCCTGGAGATGCAGGATGATCTGGAAAAGAAGAATTAAAGTCAGTATAAAAGTGCAGGTAATGTTGAGGGTAGTGGCAGGCAGTGCTCCTTCCCAGAAGAGCTGACAGGGAGGTTGTGGCAAAGCCACCCCTCTGCTATTGTGCTGTTCCTGTTCTCCATGCAGACTGGTGCTCGTGAAGTGCTGATTCTTTTACAAATAGTTTGTGATAAACTTAGTGCAGCCAGTATGAAAGTAAGTCCAGAGAAATGTAATGTGTTCCATAAAGAGCAATTTATTGTGAACCTGGAGTCAGCACAGGAAGAGGTGTTTTTATCATTGGAGAGAAGGAGAAGCTGTGTAGTGCTGGCTCAGTCTGGTGACAGGAAGCTCTTTTGCCAGCTTGCTAATCTTAGAGAATCAGGACAAAAAGATGCAATGCTTTCAGTCTTTTTCTTTTCAGGCTTGAAAGGTTCTTGTTCCTGTTTATGGGTTAGCTTGCTCATTTATCCAAGCCCCTTTGGCCACTGGTCACAGATGTTTGTGCTTTTGCTTTGGGTGTGAGAACAGTGCAGGACTGTCTTAAGAGCATGGAAGATGATTACAGCTGAATTCTTTGTTCTTGTAGGATAAATGGTTGTACCAGTTGAAAAGGACCCTGGCAATGGCTACAGCCATTTTCATTTTGAGAAATGTTGTTTAAGGACAGCCACAATTCCTTGTTAGACTGGAAACATCTGAAAGCTTGTTTTCCCAATAGCTGCACAAATGCCAGGACCCTCAGGCCTGGGCACAGGCATGGTGGTACCAGTGCCCTACAGAGATGAGCTTGCTGACAGGCCAGTTCTCTTGCAGCAGCTGAGTGGGAATGGCTGTCCAGGCATGCTCAGGAGGAGATGCCAACCTCTGTGTAATGGACAGGAGGGCAAATGTTACAGAGGAAAAGAATTCTCAAAAATACTAGCATAAAATGTGATTAGAAAACCTTTGAGCAAACAGAGGCACCTTGCTAAGAAATCTGATTCCATTACTGCCAAAGGCATTTTCTGTCTGCACTGACTGAGGTGAAGTTCAACAAATGATGTAGCAAGAGCAGTCATTAGCTGGGCAGGCTGTGGCTGTCTCAGAATGTCAAGACTGAAGCAGAAGCAGGATTTCTGTACAACAAAAAGTTGGCAGAAAACTGCTGAAAAGAAATACTGTGTTTTCATTGCACAGGAGGCTTCCTGTGAGACATGAGAATCTCAGGGAGTAGTTCTGGGACAAATATGTGTAAGCAGTGAGCTACTTTTTAAACATTTAAAAGTCATGTAATTAGGAACCAATGAATAGCAGGAATAATAGAGGGACAAATATTGCAGTGAGCTGGTTCTTTATGCTGAGAGTATCAGACCAAAGGGAACATCATCTTCAGAGGAGTCCACAGAATTTGTGTCACTGTTAGAAATGTGCAAAGATTGTTTGGGGCTGGAAGGCAGAGTCACAGCAGAGACTGGAATGGGTTTGTGCTGCTGGTTCCTTTGAACTGTTTTCTTCAGGGCACTTCTGAAAAAAGCAGGAATTTTCAGGGAAGCCTGTGCCTGTGGAGCTCAATTGATGTAAGAATGCAATGAATTCAATGAATGGAGATAAGCATTTTTAGTCCTTATCAAATAATTTTATCAGGGCTCTTCATTTAGAAGATGAAGTGGTCTTCATCTTTAGAATGCTTTAGTCTTGGTAGCTTCAGAAGACAAAGATATATTTTCTTTGCTGTAGCTGTGAGCAGCAGCAAAAGAACTCTGTATTTTCTTGTCTTCTGACAAAGTAAACTTGTTCTCTGGAGCAAACTCTGATTTTCCATCTCTTCCCATAACTTCTCCCACCATATGTTTCTTGCTGCAGGTGGACTGATACAAAAACAAGTACAGGATTAATACAGGAAGGTGTAATGGGGGCTTAAACCTAAACCACAGCACTTCTCAGGGGAGGATTAACACACTCCTCAAACCAAACCACCAAAGAAACAACCTTGCCAGCAACAGGCTCACAGCAGAAGTCACTGGGAAATCTTTCTGTTGGAAGCAGAACATGGTCCAGCTTTGTTAAAAAAGGAACCTCTCTGACACTGGTGAGGGATATAAGGTCAGGCCAGGTAATGTGAGAGACGAATTTCACTTCTGTTGCAGAAAGGATCACTACTACTTAATGAGGACTTAAAGAAGGGGTTTTTTACACGCACAAAAAAGTTTCTCTGTTAGGCTTCTGATCTAGAAATGTATCACTTTCTGTGGTAATCCCTTCCTTAGGACTGATAAAATTGTATTTTGGAGACTAAGAGCTTATATGTTGTCTGAAATGTTTCAGAGTTGTATTATTTGTTGCAATTAGAAGGTTGGTGATGGCAAGGGCTAGTTCCAAGCATGCTGTTTTAATAGTTAGGAGTACTGGGGTTTGTACAAGATCTAAGGTTTTTTTACCATTACTGGCTTGTTCTCACAGGAACCTTTATGCATGGCTCTTGGATCCTTGTAAAGAACCTGTATCTCTGGCAGCTGTGTCACCATGATCTTTGGCAATAGTAATGAAAAACTGCTTCCCCCTTGAAATCTTACTCTTTTTTAAGTATCTCTGCAAAGGCTGTTTGCAGGTTTTCCAGCTGTGCTGCTCCAGCAGAGAGCGCTTTTGTTACTGTTGGCACAGAGCCTGTTGAATCATCTGCAGCTCAGCTCCACTCTACACAACCCAATTCCCTTCTAATTTTCTTTCTAATGCTTGGTTAAGTGTCTCTTGAAACAGTACACATCTATTCTGTTTACTTTCTCCATATCTTGCTCTATACAAAGGCATTTTAAACAGCTTTTGCACTGTAAATTTCACATGATTTTTGAAGGCTGTGTGGGGAGATTACCATAATCCTTTCTCTTTAAAAAAAAATTCTTGCATTGATGGATCATGGTGAAAAAGTTATTTGGCACACTATTTAAGTCAAATGTGTTTGTCTCAACAAAGCAGTGAAAATCAATGTGAAAATAATGAATGGTTAAATGTAATGCTAAATGTCTTTTTCAGACAAACTACTGAGTTTCAAAGTTTCTAACTTAGAAAAGCCCAAAATGGGTCTTTGATCTTGTGCTTGAAAAAGGTGTACTTGGTTTAAATTTAAGAGTACTCAAGAAAAACTCTTCTTTCTGTAAAATAAGAAAGCGAGGAAGAATTGGCTTTGAAAAATTGCATTTTTCTTTTAATAGCATGGACTTCTAACCTTCTTTCATGGAAGGTTACAAAAATAAGGCTGGAATGTGCCTTCCCAAGGTGACCCAGCCCACTGGCTGCCCCAGGCCAGCCAGGCTCGCACCATTCCTGTCAGACCTCTTGGCTTTAAAGCAGAGCTGGAAGGGGAGACAGTGATGCAGTGACAGTGACTGCTCAGAAGGC